GAGGTGCTTAGGAATACACTCAGTTTACTAGAGGTTTTCGTCCTCGATCACTCCAGAACACCGCTGACATTCCAACAGCCCGGAGTTTGAAGTACGCCGCAAAGGTTGGGTTATGCAACCCACTCCTCCTGGGTTGTTGTTCAAAAATCTACCTTCCTCTTCTATTTGGGTGGGTATGGTTCATAACGGTTTACCCGGAAATAGGTCGCGAAAAGAATGGTGCGATACTCGGATTTCTACCTTCACAAGCGTTATTGACGTTAAAACTGCCCGTATGCGGCTCAGGGTTCGGGCTACGGTTAGGGTTCGTGTTAGAGGCTGGGTTATTATTTGAGTTAAGGTTGCAAGGCTTAGGTTATAGTTTGCATTTGAGGTTGAAGCCAGGGTTGCCTGCTAGGTTTAGGTTTTGTGGGCTGGCAAGTCTACACAAACGTCTAGGCAGAATATCATTTCCAACAGAGACAAGGGATACTAAACCAACGGGACGAGTTTCGTAACGCGATCAGTGGGCGCCCTTCCACCAAACAATGAACTGTTTCTAGATGTTATTATCGAGCTTTAGTGTACATACTCACGCACTTTCAATTGTGACGAAATGTCCGGTTTTCTAAAAAAAATAACCTGATTCCCACTGTAAGCGTCAGCAAAAATCAGTTTTCAAGTACGGTGGATTCTGTTTGGTTAAATTTTAAAGACTAAGTTAGTCCACTCTCAAAGAAAACGCTCTCGGATGCGCAAACCACGTCTGAGACAGCTGCTAACTTAGGAAGTTGCCTGCATATAGGGTAACGTAGATCTCTGCTCAGATTTATAAGCATTTTGCCTGATAGCATTATTTTGACGCATGTTCTACACGAAAAGAGCGCGTTTATGCGGAAAAAGCCGAACGGATAAGCAAAATGGACCACGTTTTGTCATATCAGCTCGCGTTATAACGGCCTGCGAGTTAGGTCACATGCTGTACGACGGGGCCTTTTGCGTATGCGACGTCTGTGTCAACAAAGGTACTTGTCACTTTATGTGTTTGTCTCCCTTCGTTTATCTTAATGCGCTATTTTTGAAAAAAACTTCCATATTTTACTGGTTTTGGACCTTTGCTTTAGCAAAGCTTTTCACCAGTTGCCTTTTCAACAACAGTTTCGTGCCAAATTGATCAATTTTACTGTAACTACCTGGTGATTGAAACGGCTTTTCCGTCGGATTTGGCTTTTGGCATCCTGCGTCAAGTTTTACCCGAATCTTGGAGAGCAACCGAGTTCAACTTTCATGTTATTTCTCTTTTGTCTTTCAGACTACGAAGTCGGGCCTTGCCTTCGCATTTTAGCCAGCCCAACGTGTAAGTGAACTATATGCTTGTTAGCACTTGGTGTCTCTTAGATTTCTATGTTTTACTTCCATATTTTGCTTTTGTGCGTCCTGATTAAGTATATTGTTTCACCGTCCACTACCCAGTCGTGTTTATTTCGGGATTTCAGCCAGTCGGCCCTCTATTCGTGGCGCAGCATTCTCATTCTTTGAAATAGTGTGCATTATGTACTACTTATTTTATCAAGGTAACTAGGTATATTAAAATACTTGCGATCTCGTTGGTTTTGTGCCAAAACGTAGGTGCTAGAATTTGCTCTATACCCGGTAAGGTGCTGTTTACCCGACGCACGTGCGTGTGTGGCATTCGACCATACTCTTCGTTGTTATGATTCGCCATTGGAGGTGAGTCTCAGCGGGTGAGGACTGTGTTACGTTCAGAACTGCCTTAGCACAAACTTTGACATGCACATAGAGGTGGTCTGAGCTAGTAGCCTATCCTTACCCTCCCCGCGTAAGACGCGGTTGGTCGAAAACAATACATGAACTTACCACACAACTGCACATATCATTCACATGTTCAGTTCTCATATAAATGTACAGACTCGATGAGAATTTATCGAAAGCACGCATAAGCTCGCCAAATACTCTTCTGAATTTGAAAAGGTGTTCGCTACCAGTAATATATGTGTCTTCTTAACCATCGTATACTGTTATCGTGTTTGTGCAGTGGATGTCCGCGATATTTTCTGCAAAATGCGGGATGTTCAGTGCGTGCCGGTTGAAATCAACCGTGACATCAAATTTTAAAATAGCCTCAGTTGTTGTTGACATAAAGACGCCCTGTCCCCGCCGTTTGAAGGGCGGTCTATTGGCTGGACGATTAAAGGCGATGGCAAGGGCGATCGAATACATTCCTGAAGTGAGCACCTTATTTAGTTTGTCGCTCGCCGTTTCTGGGTGCAAGCGAGGTTGAGCGGCGCCTGCCGCAATCATTCTAGAAATACTCCTCTATGATTGTAAGTGTTCGCCACACTCTACCGTTCCCGCCATGGCGACAAACTGAAAAAGTAGACGGTGAGCTTGAAAATGCCTCGGGCCGGATGGTGCGACGTTTGGAAATGCAGTTTGGACTGAAGAAAAATGATTGATTGGCAAGCAGTGAAACGCAGATCATGGGGTGATGTTAGTTCTCGTCATAGTCTATATGGCAGCTTCTCGTCACGCAATCCACTGCGCTTTGTCTCCTGCTCAGCTTGCCTGACTGACAGGCCACTGGCAGGTGTGAAGGGGAAGAGAATAGAGTCTATCCACTTCGTATCCAGCAGTAAGACTCCTTACTATAAACAACTAAATGCACCCATAGACTCTCACGGTACGCCAGCAGTCGTGGTTTGCACGTTGGCAACATGCAGAACTATTCGTCTTTACTCAGGACTGAGGAACGGAATCGAATGGCATCGTGACCGACGATGTTCACCGTGTACTCCACACCGAGGTGAGAGCAGGCACGGGGACTTGCCCGTGCACTAGTTTATAATGAGGTTAGGCTTGCACAGCGCCTACCGCACTCTCTCCTCATCTTCCTCCACCTAAGCCCGGTGCCAAGACATAGTCCAGAAGACCGGAGGCGGGAGAGGGCACAGGTGGCTGTCACGGCCTGACCTTCACCTAGGCATACACCACACCCCCTTGTTCACAACAAACACTTGATCAGGATTCCAACAACAAAAATGCAACGGCGGCAGAAATCGCAACTACCGCGACGTGAGCCGGCAACCGGGTCTATTACCGCACCCAGGATGATGGCATTCGTTATGGGTGTACATTCTTGATAACGCCCGCTAAAATCCAACGTTGCCACTGTGTTGGTCCTGCACATCTACCGTGTGGTCGCTCTTGGAGACAATATTGTGTTTGGCGCATGCAGACGGGATATTTATCTTTGCTCTTCGCTTCATCCACTCCCATCTCCAATCGCCTTCACGGCATCTTATCACTTGAACACGGCTGGCATTGTCAAAGAGGAACAAGACTGGTGCTGTTGTGTCCCATCCAAGACAGTGGTTTACCTGATTGCCTTCAACGAACAAAGTGACGTGGTCATGACTACTAGAAGTAAAGCCAGAGGACTTCTCCGTCGTTTGATGAGAGTCGTCCACATTCTCACCACAAGGGTGACTTTGTACCACTCCTTGCCAAAAATACTGCACTTATCCCGTCTGAATAGTACGGGTTCAGTTTGCCAAACCCACCTCCATCTGGTTTTCTTGCATGATTTTAAAAAAATTGCCCAGAGGCTTCTTCTTTCAACTTCGGAATAGCGTCCTAGCACATGCACTCCATTACTGATGACTATTGATTATGAGCGAATATATTACGACTAGGCATCGGCAATCGTCGCTATGTTCACTTTATTAAATCAGCTCGTCAGCTGCCTTTTGTGTTTATTTTAGTGTGGGCATAGAGTTTGGACAGGCGGATTCGAGTGAGCTTAACGCACGGCCCCCCTCCATGCGCCAACCCAGTAAGTTGGACCTTCCCCGTTTGTCTTTGCTACTGAACAGCGTCCATCTGTCAGCTGTGTCAGTACTGACACAGGGCATCTGGTTGAGCAGTGTATTGCAGACTGTGCCCCAAACCACCGTGTTTCAAATTCGTCGAGATATAAAATGTGTTTTCGGGCCTTCCTGGACGGTCCTTTCTTCCCCGTCAAGAGATTGTAGTACCTCGCGAAATAGAGTTAACTTCAAGGACAAAGATATGTGCTCTGTGTTCTGGCCACCATCATTCCTCGCCTTTTACAAGAGCACACTGATTACCGATGTGGTGCAGTTATTGGTTGCATGGTCGAAACCCAAACTTTTTGGCCCATTTGAAAGGCCGAATTAAAAGGTGCATTTTACACGGTCCATTCTTAAAGATACCACTACATTGCTTCGCCTATCTAGAGGCTTGGTATCGTGTCATCACTAGTTTTTGCTGGAAAATCGAACGCACGGGCACTGCACATGCGGTTTGGAACGCGAAAATGGGCGGAGCGTAGGGGAAAAACGGTTCTTCAGTCATGGTCTTCTGACCCTTTCCTGAATCAGCCCTCAAAGACAATGCACGGAAGATAGGACGACCATTGTTAAATATGTCATCGGACCAATAAGGTCAACTCAATGTCCTAGTTAGTGGTGGATGCCAATCGCGAGACTGGCCTACAGCGAGGTGGCACAAGCCTCACTGACAGGTTTACATAACTCAACTATCTGACTGGTTCTTTGTCTTGTATTGATTCAGAGTATTCTGTGAGCACATACTATTAGACTCATTTCCTCCTCGTCTTACTCATCCCCAACGGTGAGGTACTTGAGATGTGTTGTGACAGACTCCTTGTTTTCCAGCCGGATACGCCTTTTCGCAGGATGACAACCCACGTTTGCGCCAAACTGAAATGTTCGGCATGCCTTCCGCCTGACCTTGACTCCCCGTGGTATTTCAAACATTCCGTTGCGTCCCTCTCGCAACCTGATATATTTACACTTACAACACTGCCAATGCTTCATACATGACCAGCTTGGCTGAAATTCAGCGCCATCAATGTCCCTCTTTCCCCTCCCCCTCCTTAACCTATTCCAGCGCCAATTTTTACCCATTTTTGTTTTTACTTCATATCCTCCCTCTTTACCGCTTTTTCCGACCCATGCAAATTGTTAAATTCAAGGATACTTATTTAACAGTATCTGGTAAAAAAGTACATGGTGAGCTGTCATTCCCATATGTTGCAACCAGAACTCTGTCGTCGATTATCTTATAAAATCGGAAATATTTTGTCTACATTGGCATTACTTCTATTTCCAGAAGCAGTGTTCGCTCGCGCGCCTCTCGCGTGAATACTTTCTCTGACAAGGCAAGGTCCAAAGCACCAAATAGGAGGGGAAGGGGAGGGTGAAATCATTGCATGTACTATGTTCACGGACTGTTGATGGGAGAAGCCTGGCTTAAGTAGCTCGCGACTTACGCGGTTACCACCTTCCACGATCGTTCCGGCCTCTCTGAGGTTGGAGACGCAGGTTTGCGTCGTCGAGCGATTCTTGGCCCGAGAATTGCCGTCGCACCTCTTCACCGCTGTGTGTCCGTTATCCACCTCCTGGGTTATCTTCCTGCTTCTCCGACGTACATAGTTGCTTCGCCCACAGATCCGGCAAATAACTCCATGTGGTGTGGGCACGTAGGAGAAACCGCTGGGTCGGGTTATTTGACGAGAAGCTGTCGAAATGGACTAGCTGTGTCAGGGTTTAGAAGGTCAAGCTGGCGGATTACCGCAGATGAAAAATTAACCCGGGCGGTAAGAGTGGTGGTCTGGTTGTGAATATGGGCCTTAGACAGTAAATCAAATGCGGCAGAAGATCTGCGCCGTTAATGACAGGGGACATCAAGGAGAAAAGTCAAAAGGAAAAGACGCTGGAAGCCATTGTCCAGAGAAGGGGAACTAGGACTAAGGTGGCGTTTTAAGACTTGTTGGTTGCCTGAAGGGGCAGGAGTTGGGGCACTATTGGGGAAATGACACCGAGCTGGGCGTTAGTGTCGGTGGGACATTGCTTGCCAGCGCTCTTGTCCACGAATACATGGCACCTGACGTAAAGAGAACCCGGGAGATTGACCGCAATCCTCCTGCGCGGTTAGTTTTTCGGTCGGGCTGAAGCGTAGTGTCGGGACTTTACTTCAAAGTTCACACGGCGCCGCCAGAGTTAGGTCATACGCCGGGCGGGACGTACGTGTCGACCATCACGACTACGTAGTCGGTTGGAGATTAACTGGTCACTGAACTCTGTATTCCAGTAGCACAGTGTTTGTCGACATCTGGTGGGCCGCTTGAGGTGCAGAGCTCTGGCCTCCGGTAGCGAGGGGTACCGAAAAAATCGAGAATTGCGTTCTGTAGTCAAGGTTGTTTGGCCGCGCAGCCCTTCTACCGCCAAACATTCTTCTTGCGCAGCCAGCCAAGTGGCCTTTTATGAGGAGCGACCACGGTGAACAGAGTGATTTTTTTACTAAACCCACTCCCGAGATTCTTGGCGATTTTGCAATGAGAAACTTCAAGGAGCAACGGGTCAACAACAAATTCCGTTTCCTGTCCACTGTTTGTTTTTTGACATAAAAAGAGTCCTTCACATTGAATTTGTTCCTCATGAGTTCGCATTACTATCAACAGGTGCTTTGGCGATTGCGTGAGGTAGTGGTGAAAAACCGACATGAATTGTGGCGATCGGAGACTGACTACAAACAGCGTTCACAATCAACCAGTTTTTGGCGAAGAACGGCATGTCAAAGGTTTCCCACCTCATTTACTTGCCCAACCTAGTCCCCGCGGCTTCTTATTTCTAATAATGAGGAAAAACCTAAAGGAAGAGCGGTTTTAGAATGTAGAGGTCAGGGAAAATCGCCACAGGCACGTAACAGCACTGGTTTAGAAGAACATAAGTGTCGAACAGTGGAAAATCTGTTGGGACAAGCGCAACTCGCCTAATAGACAGTATTTTGAAGAGGTCAGTATTTTCAATATGTTACCTCGAATAAAACATTAAATAAACTTCGTTTCTGCCTATCACTCAGTATAGCGTTAACCAACTAGGCGCGTTTGTCCGCGTTGGACACGGTAATAAGACTCCAGGTACCAGAGGTGGTCATAGGGTAGATTTCAGGCAGATTACCCATTCCCCTGTCCCAACTTTAACCATAATCTGCATAACACTAAACCTCGCAACCACTTTGTATTTGGCACCCGGCCAACAGTACCGGGGGAGGGGATTCATGTTCCCATGCTGCACAGAGACGGTGGGGTCGTCAGAACCGGATACACAATCGTTACGCGACGGCTATAGCTGTACGAGACAATTATTGATTATAAAGGGATACTGGTCGTTCACTAATATACCAATGACGCGATCGCAGGGTGCCACCCAGTTGCAGCCGGTGCCTATCTTGTTTAACAGCGTGGATGTGGACTTTGAGTAGGTTCCCAAACAGACACGAGCACGAAGACTTCCAAAGAGATGCAGTTCAGTGGGAACGATAAACGAGCCTTCGTGCATCGGACTATGCGGGCTTCGGATTAACTGCGCCTCTCGAACGGCACCAACCATCGTCCCCCCGCCTGCCTCTTCCTCCTCCTCTCCGCCGCCAACTAACCCTGACAATTCTTCTGACCCAACACTTCCATCATCCTCCATCTCCTTCTCATCCTCCTCCTCCTCCTCGCCCACTGCTCCAAAGGCGGCCGCTCAGGCGACTGTCCCACGCACAGCAACCGACACTACCACCACCTCCCCCGACTCCAGGGATGAGGATCACGACTACACCTGCCCTCACTGCGATCGCACCTTCACTTCACGCATCGGCCTGGTCGGTCACTTGCGAATCCATCGCACAGAGTCTGGCGAACCAGTGCCTGGAGCACCAACCTACACTCACCGCACTCGCCTCCACTGCCCACACTGCCCTCGCACCTTCACGCATCGCATGGGTCTATTCGGCCACATGCGCATCCACGAGAGCGGCCTTGACCGCACTCCCGACACACCCACTACATCCAACACATCCACCGTGCACACCCCCACTCTCGTTCCATCCGTCCGCGACACCACCACCACCACCGCCTCCTCTGTAGCTGACACTGACACCGCCGACTTCTCATGCCCACACTGTCCACGCACATTCACCTCACGCATCGGCGTGGTCGGTCACTTGCGAATCCATCGCACAGAGACTGGCGAACCAGTGCCTGGAGCACCCACCTATACCCACCAAGCTCGTCTCAACTGCCCACACTGTCCTCGCACTTTCAGGCATCGCATGAGCCTATTCGGCCACATGCGCATCCACGACGACCTGCGGTAGACAACCGCCGGCCACACCACACATTCACTCACTCCCTACCTCCTCCACCACCACCATCACCCAACCAGAAATCAACACTCACACATCTCATGCACCCAACTGCCACCTCCCACGCAAGTGGGAAGTGTGCATCTCGACTCGGTCCCCATGCGGCTTCGGCTGCACGGGTGACTTGTGTCCGAGACTATCCCGACAAGTCAAGTGTCGTGGATAGGAAGGTTGCTGATTGAGGCCCGTTCTCGGTTCACGCAGTTCGTCACGTTGTGTGTGTGTTGTGTGTAGTGGCGGACTGGTGGGCTGGGGACGGGCTGCAACAGCACCTTCCACGGCACTCTCAGGCAAGTGAGAGACACGCCATTCAACCCCCGTTGTGTGAAATCCTGGTGTTTGTGTGTGTATGGGGGGCCAGGGCGTGCTGTGGCGCGCGCAGTCATGGTCAGTCGACCATGACAGCCACCGCGCCCACTCCCCACTCCAGTCTGCTGACCGGCTGGGACAGCGGCTGGGGTGTGGGAGTGGGAAGGGAGAGTGAGGTCGACGACTCAGCGCACTTTCTCCTCACTATAAACAATCTGACGCGCTTGAAGCTATCACGGTGCGCTAAAAGCCGTGGCTTGGAAGGTTGCCAACTGACGGGGTATCTTGGACCTCCTCCTTGACGGGAGGCGGTCTGAGAGTCAGGCTGCAATGGCTCCTTTTAATGTGGCCTTTATGGCACTCCCATCACAGTGTGGGATCCGAGCCAGGCGTTGGCGGCACGCCTAGGTGCGGCTTCGGTCGTGCCAGCCTCCAAATCTCTCTTGTGTTGGTTGAAATCCTGGTTATTTGTTGTGTGGGCCAGGGGGTGTGTTGGAACGCCAAGGTGAGGATCCGTCCGAGCCATCCACCTGCGGCCTCTCTCGTCTCCGGTCTTCTTGACACTGTCTTGACACCGGGCTCGGGCGAGGGAGGAGGAGAGAGTGTAGGTAGATGTTACGCAAATCTACCGGCACTATAAACACCTGCGTAAGTCACCGTCCCTGCTCCCATTGCTGCTGCAACTGTGGGGCACACGGTGGACATCATCGAAACCGATGGTCGAACTGTCATGCGGGCTTCCATGGAGTAAATTAAGGTGATCTGTATCGATTTCGGTTTCGGCGATGGAGCGCCAGAAGGCGAGCCTGAACTATCCTTCGCTGGGTGTTCATTTTGCGGGGTGTTTTGTCCAACATGGCAGTAAATCGTACTTCTTAAACAAACGAATCTATTATAGCGAAAGTGGTCTGACTGACTTTATGATAAAGGACAAGCAATAATTAAATTCTTCCCACAGAAGACCATAATTTCAAGTAACTTGGCCTAGGTGGGGCTAAACTCGCGGCTCCTGGTGGAGCCTTGTACCTGGGTTGGTTAAAGCATTGTCTGTTTTCCGGTCATGGCCTTGCTGTCGGGGGTTCGAATCCTTCCGAGGTCGCCGAGCTTTTGGGTCAAATGAATTATTGAAATCTGCCAATAACAGCCATCAGTTTTTCACTAGGCACCACAGTAAACGATAAATGAAAAATCCCATGGTTGTTTGGTCCGAGAGTCGTGCTAGAATTCCTCGGAATAAACACGGACGACTCTGAGACGGAATGAGCGCCTCTATTGTTGGGGATGATAGAGAACCCATCCATTTTTGGGCAGCCTCCTGAATCTCAAGATCAGTCCGCTCCTTTGGAGAACGTTAGCTGCCTGCGTCACACAGAGGTACTGCAACTGCACTTGCTCCCAACACCGCTGGAACTGTCGGGATAGGTTTACATACCCGTCCACTATTTGCAGCCAATGTTTTTATTCGGATGCATTCCTTATAGAGGCTACAGGAAGACACTACACCTACGGTTACTCGGCAGGCGACGAGCTCTCTCCTAAGCTACCCTAATCGGCATGACTCAAAGAGAGACGGAAACCTACGCGTCAGTAGCGTAGATCGTTTTAAGGCCTAGGGAGGCCCTTGATCGGTATAAACATGATCGGTCTCGATTCCAAAGAATATAGCTGTCCTCTAGGACCTCCCCAGTTTGGATACGTATTTCAAATTCGCATGGAATGGACTCTCTGTTGGAACTGTCAATGAAAGCCAAGAGTTTCTGCACTGGATCAGCAGACTAAATTAACAACGACGCCACAATCGCCTTGTCGCAAAGCTGCTCAGTCCGCAAAGAGAGAAATAGACAGTTTTCTCACTAGTAAATAATTCGGGTGCTTAAGTAACGGCGGAATAGAAAGTGCGGTTTCATTAAAACTGGCAACAGATATCGGTTGTTCGCACAGCAGTCGCCTCGCCGATATCCTGCATACTAATTCACATTCTTCACTTTGACGACGCTCTAACCATCTGAGCTAGGAGGCCCCACCGGACGACGCGAGCGTTGGCCGTACTAAAGCCTCCTCTTGCTGTCGTGGGTTCGAATCCCACCGAGTTTTTCACAGTTAGGTCAAAGTGAATTATTGGAAAGATGCCAACACACCTCCACATTCACATACTGATATCTTCAAGTAGCCCAGCTCCAGGCCGAATCCGACCTACGCTGTCCGCACGTCTTTGTCTACTTTGTCAAAAAATCCTAAATTAGCAATTGACAATACGGTTGGAAGCCCCCCGTAGATGTCATTTACGTCGAATTCAGCAAGGCGTTCGATTGCGTCCCACATAAGCGCCTAGTTCAAAAGTGGTCAGGAGAACGGATAAGAGGAAATCTACTGAACTGGATCGTAGACTAAAAGTCATTGCGGGCGGCTACTGCTCAGAATGGGCACTTGTTAAAAGTGGAGTCCGATAGAGGTCAGTTCTTGGGCGGCTCCTATTCATTATCTATTTAACTGACCTAGAACGAGAAGTGAAATCGGACATAGCGCTCTTTGCAGACGATCTTAAACTTTGGAGATTGATAAAAGATGAAGACGACATCAACATACTACAAGAGGAAGTAGAGAATTTGCACGCACGGAGCGAGAAATGGTGCATGAAATTCAACGTCAAAAAATGTGTAGTAACGCACGTAGTATCTGCATGGCGAAGAACAAATGCACCCTCACGACAGTATCTCCTGGACAACCAACCACTTAAAAACGTAGGTGTGCCAAAAGATCTCAAGGTATTCATTAAAGACGATCTAAGCGTCACCACGCAATGTTCTAAAGTCGGAGCGCGGGCAACGTTAGTCATGAGCGCGATACGCAGAAAGTTTATTCACTTGAATACAGATGTCTTTGGCAAAATATGTGGGACACTTGTGCGGCCGCACCTGGAATATCCGGTACAGGCTTGGTGGTCGTGGCTTCGGAGGGATATAGATATCGTTGAAGGTGTACAACGGCGTGCTACAAAGGCTGTTCATGGCCTCAAAATTTTTACGTACAAGCAGCGCCTGACGGCCTTGAACCTCTACCCCCTCCACTACAGGCAGGACAGAGATGACCTCATAGCAAAGGTCCAGTTGCTAAGAGGACTTCATCTGGATGTCGACTGGGAAACGTTTTTTTGAAATGGCACCCAAATCTAATCTCAGATGACACGACTACCCGCTTAGAAAGGAAATATGTCACACAAATCAACGTCCCTCCTTTTTCTCACAGAGGGTCATTCGCCAATGGAACTCTTTGTCGGCGTAGGTTGCTAATTCCCCTACTGGGAGTGTGTTCAAGAGACAACTGCATACTCACCTGCCGAAAGGCAATCCGAACTGTCGAAGCCTGATCTAACGGATTACTGAAATGACTATAAACATACTACTAACATGATTTCAACAGATCCTTTCTGTGCGTTAAACTTGACTCATGGAAATTTTCACAGTCTAAATGTAGTGAACAAAGTTTTATGCAATTATTTCGCAAATGTCATACCCTTTTCGCGTTTATGTTCCACTATTAGATTTATGCATTCTGCTCACTAAAACTGCATACAAATGTTCTGCAATTTAGCTATGTTCCCTTACATCTGTACCGTCTAAATGGAGTTTTCAGGGCTTCTGTCGTTTACTCCAAATACACTGACTGATACTGACTGAACATAGCCTGCAAATAATGTAACCCCAGAAGTGTGGATTGAACATCACAGCCAATACAAAAGCATGCTTTATTTAAAAAAAAATATATGCAAAAATATACAGTTTCGAGAGGACTCGGAGTGTTAAACTCATCAGTCATCGTCGACGATTCCCACGTACAGTTTCGCCTGTCGTTTAGAATTACTCGCAAGAACGCCAGCAAATTCTGGCCGGCTCTGGATGGGTTTTTGGGATGCCATAATAAGACTCTGCATGAATGCTTCCAAAGACACTGAAAGAGGAGAGACAAAGGAAAGGTGAACATGAAGATTTGTTATTGGAGTCAGCGGGCAGCAGAAAATAAGGCCTGAGCGACTGCGTTAGGACATATTCCTCTGACTTTTCAACAAAGATGAGAAACAAAAGTAGTCCTCTATAACGCTGTCTGATCAGACTCCTTGAAAATGCGAAGAATTCTGATAGCAGTGCAGGGAAA